CCATTTGCTAACTATTGAAACTTAGTATTAAGTTAATCATTATAATCTCATTTCCTATTTACTTGAGAATCGGAATAATTATGGGACTAAAAGGAAAGGATATTACCAATTTTCTTCTTAGTATCAGTAAGAATATAAGGGAGAAGAGGACAATAGAGTTCAAGTTTAATGATGACAATTATGCTATATATTGAGACCAAATCTGTATACCACATGATAGGGAGTTGAGGAGACAATTCTGGATGAGGCACATTATTTTGAGTATACATACGATTCATACTGAAGCTACCAAGATGTATTAAGACATGAAGAGAATGTGATGGTGACCTAGAATGAAGAAGGATGTGATAAAGCATGTAATTCAATGTTTGACATGCTAAAGATCAAGATTCAGCATCAAAAGCTTAGAGGCATGTTATACCATTGGAGATTCCAAAATAGAAGTGGGACCACATTTCTATAACTTTATCGCTAGTCTACCTAGAATGCAAGTAGGACATGATATGATGGATAGTGGTGGATCAATTAATCAAGTCTACATACTTTCTAGCAGTAAAGGTGACTTATTCTCTTAAGAAATATGCTGAGGTTTATGTGAATAAATTGTAAGACTTCATAGGGGTGCTAGAAAACATTATCTCTGATCATGATTATGGTTCATATCAAACTTTTAGAGAGCGTTGCAAAGATCAACTAAACTAAGTTGAAATTTAGCACTGCCTATTACCCTCAAACAGATAGATAGACTGAGAGGACATTTAGATATTAAAGATATGTTTGAAAGCCTATACTTTAGAGTTAAAGGGTAGTTATAAACATCCTAGATTGTTATAAACGATATGAAAACTATTGTGAGAGGCTAAAATACTAGTGCAAGTATGTATATTAATGTGATTATGTATTCATTATTGGCCATAGAGATATTAAGTTGGATTATGCATTAGCCGCCTTGGTTGTAATGTTAATTTAAGGTTTTAATGGTGATATTGTGTTAAAGATGTATGTATATAGATTTATTATATATGAAGTACATTATGGTTCACATGAGTTATTTTAAGTGGTCAGTAGGCTATTGACATTTGGTTTATGGTTTTGGACACCTTTGTGCATGTTTTGAAGGAAAATGTGACTTTTTACACATGGATGTCCAATTTAAATGGTAATTATTTTATTATGAAACTAATACAAATAGTTAGGTGGCTTAATTATCTATATGTGGACACTTGAATCAGTTGAATAAGATATTGTATAACAAAATAACACACTCAAAAGTGCAGTGTACATGTGCTACAGCACACGATACAATATGGGGGTTTTCTCCCTATGCCATTTGCCATGGCAGGTGACACCTATGCCATGGTGGATGGAAAAAATTAAGTAGAATGCCTAATTTTTCCTTAATTGATACCTTTTTGTTGTTTTCCTTTTGCCATGCTCCGGACTTCTTTAATGATGTTTTAAACTTATGTTTGAACTCATCTATTTTTAAAAGTGTTAGATCCCTTTAACTACTTTGAATTTAACCCTTTTCTATTATGGTAACTTAATATAAGGATTTTCTTAATCTTGGTTACCCATAATAGTGTTATGTGAAATGTTTAATAATGTTAATACAGACATTATATATATCCTAAGGGTAAAGTTCACAGGGATGAAAGTGACTCTTAACCCTTTAAAAATTATTTTGTTGGCTTAGATGGAAGGGGGATAAATACTAACTATCAACTCTTAGGTTTAATTCCTAGGGTGATAGGAATTAAAATGATGTATTTGGAAGATCTATCCCTTATTTAGGGCTTGATCTAGCTTAATTTGAACTAGTTAGAGCTATCAACTTTGAATACTGTCTTAGGTTAAAGAATTGAAAAAATAATTTATAAAATTAAGAAGCTAAACTAAAATCTTATATAAGGTTAAGAACATGCTTTTTTTTTTGCATAACATTAATTAAGGTTAAGGTATAAATTTACCCTTGAAGTTTCTATGCAACTGGCCTTATATCCTCAAGTTTTTTTATGATTCATTTTGCCTTGCCATCAGTTTTGACTATGTTTGATTGTTAATTTGACTTTAACTCACTTGGTTGGCAGCCATCTCATATATTTTGGAAATTGAAATTTAAAAAAAGAACATATCCACATCAATCTTTCCCCTCCCCTTACCATCAGATTTGAAAGCAATTCCCCTCCCCATCTTTATCTCTTTTATCTGGTCTTCTCCCCTTCTAACTGAACCATCCCCTCTTTGGTTTTCTTCCTCTCCCACAAAGCCACAATGTGGGAGGCTATGGATGACATTAAGGGAAATGAAAAAAGATGATGGTAGGGTTTAAAGAGGAAGAAGATTGAGATGAGTAGGTGCGATATGATTTCAACACCATGGTGGGGTTTCAAGATGATCACGATCTAGGTTGTTAATCGAAAGTGGGCTTGTTCTTAGATTTAGTTTGCTCTACATCTTCCCATTGTTTTT